TATTCTTGTTTCTGGCAGTGCTTTGATGTATCTATTAATCTTGTCTCTTTTTTTTGTTGCTCTTTTCTTGTTTCCCGCTTTCTTATTTTTTTCTATTTCTTTTGCTGTTTCTATTGCTTTGCTTAATCTTCTAAATGTCATGAACTGTGCTGTTTTCATTCTTTTGCTAAACTTCTACACTTCTGTTTTAAGGTTTTCCTTGGGATCACTATTTCTGCTGCCTGTTTCCACTATTTCTTTAGTATGTGCCATTTACTGCTAGCTTCCAATATTGTTCTTTCCATTTTTCTGGTCTTGTGCTGGTCTTTTTTTTCTCTTATACTTTCTATTTCTTCTCTCCACTCTTTTCATTTTGCGCTATTCATTTTTTTGTAATTGTACACTTGTCTTTTCCTTGTTATTCTTATTCTTATTATTTCTTTCATTATTGTGTATAGATCTATTTCTGTTTCTACTGCCTTGTGGTCTGTGTTTAGTGTCTATCTAATGTCCTTTATATTCGCACCCTTGCATAGCTCTCTTATGTCTTCTGAAATCCATATCATGTCTATTCTGCTTTTTATATCATTACTCCAGATATATTCCCTTGTGACTTTGTTGTGTTGTCTATATGTGTTGTATAACTTGAATTTCTTTAATATTTTAATCCATTTCTTTTTCTCTTTTGGTTCTTTTTCTCCTGTTCTATCCATCTCATCTTTGGTTGTTATATTCATATCTTTCATAACTATTGTGCCTACAAATTGTCTCTTTCTCCATTCTCTTAGGTTTTTTTTTGTTTCTGTTAACATTTCTTTCCTTTCTTGACCTACTTGTGATTACACATATATTTATATTACCTTTATATGTCTTCTTTCTTTGAATATTAACTCTACAGCCAGAATCCTTCCTTGCCATCTTGTTATTTTTCCAATATGTTTTGCACAGTCTCTTTGTACAATTAGGCCCACTCCCCTGAGTATTTTTCTGTGTGTGCCCAAAACATCTTATATTTGCTGTCTTCCATTGTCTTTTTGCTTGTTGTTTTCTTGAATTTGGTGTCTGATATTCCTATTATGGATATGTTACTCTCGTGATAGTAATGTTGCAATTGCTGTTTTTTAAACTTCTTATTTAGTCCATTTATATTTATTGTCGTAATTTTAAAACTTTCCATGTTTGTTCTTTTTTCCTTGTATATATTAGTATTGTTTTTGTTATTTTTGTTATTTTTTTGTTGTATCATCATATTTTTGTAGTTATTGTGATGTGGTTTCTTCCTTATTGCCCTTGCGACTGCTGTTTCCTTTTTACGACTGCTGCTAACTATTCTACAACAGCTCTGATAACATTTTTCCCATGTGTGCAATCTGTTTTTCTATTTTGCTCTGTCTTTCTGCCACTTCTTCATTAAACACTTTGTATATTGTCAAAGGAATTTCTTTCTTCTCAGTATTTATTTTTTCTGCATCTTGGTATTGAGATCATTATTCTCCCAATCTTTCCTTTATGTATTCTACTTCTTTTTGTTCCTTCTCTGGTGTCATTCACCAGTCCTATAACATATTGATTTTCTTTTCTATACTTCTGACTTTGTCTTCTAGGTTGTTTAATCTCTTTCTGATTCCTTTTTGTTTTCTGCCTTCTTTATTAATCATTGATCTGGATCTGCTTTTCTTCCTTATTATTTTTGCGAAGGATATAGGTGCTTCTCTCTTTGGCCCCTTTCTAAATCTCAACTGGATTGATGTGAATTTTGTCTGCATGATAAATTTGTCTTTTTGGATCTTTACCTCCTTACATTGGAAGGCGATATGTCCACTCTGTCCACATTTGTAGCAGAGTCTTTCGTGCTGGTTCACAAAGCTAATTATTGTTCTGTCCAACTTTAAGGTTTGTTTTTCTGCTGCTTTTAGCTGGTCCTCTGTTTCAAATGCTATGTATACAAATCTCTCCCTGAAGTATTTGCTTGTTCTTGGGATATACAGGGTTTTCCCCTTTGTTTCTTTTGCTATTTTCTCTAGGTCATATGCTGTGGTGCCTGCCAGCAATTCTGCTAATTTAAGCACAAATTTGGATCTTCTCGCGAGCTCATCTTTTTCTTCCCATTTTGGGAGTATTCTCAAATACTTTTTTTTAAATGGAGTCAATCACATTTCAGCCAATAATTGTGCATCTGTTTCTTCTTTGAAAATTACGGTTACAGTTTTCCACATTTCTACAGGTTTGATTATCACTGTTTGGATATTTCCAAACTTTCTTAGAGTTGCTTTGACTGTTCCCTCACTTGCTGAAAGGGGAATGTTTCTGACTATCACTGTCAATCTCTCTTCCAATTGGTGTTCCCTTTGTTTCACCAGGGTTAGGTGTTCTCTGTTTTTGTTTATATCAAAGTTGATTTCACATGTCTCCTGCATGTCAATGAAATTTCCAAAATTGACAATAATTGCTTTCTTTTTTCCTGCCGTTTCTTTTCCTACTCTCACCCCCAAGAAAGAGTCAAAGGCGATACATGCTTTCTCTACTATCTCTAAAGCTTCTGCTGATTCTGTACCTGTCACAAGCTCCATTGAACATGTGTATCTTGGTTTTCTTTCTATTTCTCTCAGTTGTCCCTCGATTTTTTCCCCTTTTACCTTTTCTTTATATACTCCCTTCTCCCCTGCTCTAATATCGGGGCCATTCGTGTTCTTGCTGTTCTCTTTTGTTTCTATGGTTTTCTCTTTAATTTCCATTTCCTGATCCTTTGTTGTGTCTTGTTCTTCCTCTCTTGTCTCATTTTCCTTTTCTTTTATTTTTTTGTTTTTCATTTTTCTTGTGTCCATGCTTGTTGCTCATACTGGTATCTTTTTTCTTTTTTCCTTATCCAAGCTTTTTGATCTTGTTGGTCCTTTCTTGGTGATAATAGTAGCCACTTCTCTTGCTTCTCTCACTGCGTTTATTGTTTTCCTCTCTGTACCTCTTCCTCTTCCCGCACTTGTTGTTGCCACTTGCCTGACACCCATATTTCTTTATCACTTTCTCGCTGCTTTTCCAATTTTCTAAAAAGGCAATTTTTACTGTGTGGGAAAGAGTCGTCTGCTTTGTACTTGTTATAAACTTCAACATTATTAAATTTAAATTATCTTTTAAAAAAATCATATTTCAAATTTTGTATTTTTGTAATAAGAATTCACATGGCCATTATTTTCTTAAAAATATTCCGGCAATAAAGTTTGACCTGATTTATAATAAGGGCATACGCTTGCATTTTCGATTGGATTACCCCTCGTGCCTATAAGAATAAGAATATTATAATTCGGATTGTGGGCACTGATGGTGAAATTAAAGTTGCAATGTAAAGCGTTGTAAAAATTCTTACATTCTCCCACCATAATTTCATCTGTCCAAGACAGACTCGTCAGCTTTAGCAAAACGTTTATTGTGGTGTTCGAAAAAAATCCTTTGAAAATAAATCTAGACGCAGAGTTTCATTCTTCTAATGAGTGAGGAATCGATTTATTTTCGTGGCAACTTATCCTATTTAAACGAGTCAAATATTTCTGCCAAAAGTTTTAACCTCTTTTTGATATTTGTCATCTAAAAAACTTGATTGCCATATACTGTACTTTATTATAACCTCAAAAATTTGAAATATCGCAAAATAAAAAGAAAAGGAACGTATAAAAATTTAACCCAAACTACTTCTCTATATATTGTGACGGTCAATCGGCGAGTCTGTCGCTAAAATGGGCAGAACGTCGTCGCGTAACGTCGATGAGGTAAGGGGTCTAAGCGAAATTTAAGGCGTGTACGATTTGGTCGAGTAAAAGATAATTCGATCAATCAATCCATTAATCCCCCTTTATTTACTTTTTACTTCTCTCTTTTTATACATCTTAGTTGGGACGGTTTTTACACCGATTATCTAATGTCTTCTCACGATTCTCCCTAATTACATAATGCTCAATCACCATTATTTCATATTATCTAATCGTTTTCACACTCCTCTCTTCATTACCTAATTCTCTAACACGCTATTCTACTACTACTTTAACCATTTCCCATCACTTTCGCTTACAATTCCCTCCATATCACCTTGAGTATCATATGATCGGAACGGGTCCTTCGCAGCACTATCGCGACTATTAGTCATGTGACTGGGATCGCGTCACGATTTTTATCCTCTGACCATATAAATTAAGGTTTAGAACAAAATTAATTTCCTTATTTTCATGTTTGGATTATATTAAAGTCAATATGTAATATTTAAAGAGCGTCTCTCTGGGAGGTTCCGTAGTAAAATGGAAATCTGATATGGCCGGCGGCGCAATGTTTTACATTGAATAAACAAAATAGTGTTAGAAGGGAAGAGGAAGATCTATAAGAGGGTCAGTCTAAAACGAGAGAGAGAAAACGCAATATTGATATTTGTTACTTGTGTTTGTTAGGTGATTCATTTGTACATATTTGTATCATGGTAAATCAACCGATCGTGCTTTTTTAGAAACAATAATTATTTTGTTTGTTGTGCAACCCAATTACAGTATTCCGTTTCTGAGCTACCCAGATGAAGTATAGCTTACTTCTATCAAGTCATTTTTTGGCCAGTATCTATGTCAAACTCATATACATAAAAATATTAACAGGTAAAAATTCTGCATACTCTGACGGTTTGAGATATCAAATTTTGATATTCGACACGCCAAAGTGTTGTCACTTTACTGTTTTGGATTTTTAGACCTTTCACTTATCATTGATCCATGAGTAAATTGGAAATTCAAAAAGAGAAAATGAATGCATTGATGCTCTGTAAATCTCTTTTTGGATTAGATCGCGATTAATTTGAATACGTAATTCATCGTTCCTGGCATTGTGGTATATGCTTCGCCAGGTTAATTTGGATTAAAAGGTTTTGTAAAGAACAAAATCTTTGAATTCCGAGCATCATTTTTCCAAGATATAAATACCTCAGTCGTATGCTTTGCTGATATCACGACCGCATATACAAATTCACGTATTTGTACAAAATGAAAAAAACTATGAACGCCTTCTTCGAGTTTAGTCAATCGTATCGTCAAAATGAAAAGTCATTAAATCGAATTATTCAAGAAGAAATAGGTCTCAAGTGGAGGTCAATGAATGTAAGGGACCGTGAGCCCTACGTTAACAGTTCAATTCGCAAGAAAGAGCAATTTAAGCGAGAGAATCCAAACTTTAAAGAAAAGCGTATTCGTTCAGTTAGAAGAAGGAAGTTTAAATTCGTGAATAATTCTCCGGAAACAATGCAGCAGGAACAATTTTTTAAAAAATACATGAATAAATCACCGGAAAAAATGCAAGAGAAATAATTTCTCGAGCTTTTTTTTTATTCTTTCTTTAAAAGGCGTTCCTTTTCATTTTGTACAATTATCCATCAATAACCTTCTCGGTGGTTATAACGTAATTACAAAATATCGCGATTTTTTACTATTCTACATTCGATTGCAACAATATTCGTTAAATTCGGTTAAATTATTCTCGAAGGTGGGTGGGGATTTTCGGATTTTCGATTCCAGTATTAAACATATACAGTATATACGAAATACAAAGTTATACAGTATAATATCATGATACGTATGTACGTAGGTGCCGTATAAGAAAATTATGCTAATCACAAATACATGTTTTTTTCTTCAATCGTTTTCTCGAATTTGATATTACAAGATAGTACAGTAAGGATGTGATAAAATGAAAAAATAAGATTAAAATAAAATAAATAAATAAAATAAAATTATTAAGTTCATATTCAGTACTTAACCATTACATGTCCGGAAAAAAAAACTAATTAATTATGCTAATGTCGGACAGAAAAAAATCTTGTCGATATAGTTTGCATCATTCGTTACACTTCGGATAATATTGTACTGTAAATTGTGATAAGGAGCTACATCGCACTATTTTTTTATTGTAAAGTTGATCCTGATCATTAATTAATAACACCGTACATAATTTGATGACTTTATCCGCGCAATATAACAGGGTTATCAACGATTTTTTTTCTTTTACAAAAATTTACCAAATTCAATTGAATTGTCAATCCATCTATCGAAAGTTTGGAAAATGCCGAGTTCGGTCAAATATTTCACACAGTGAAAAACCCACTATTGCATTAAACAAGCACCCTTAAATAGTTACCGATTTAATACGTGTATTAAATATTTTATAAAGTGTCTAATCGTGTTTCAATTATTAATAAATTAATGGGTTTTCAATCCGTTACTAACAAAGAAGAGGAATTATTGGGCAAAATCTTTAGAAAGATCTCCAGTAATAATTTCATCTAGTTATATTATTATCCCCAAAGCTGCACTTGTAGAATGATCTGATTAAGGAAAAAAATTAAATAAAATAAGTTATCTATACATTTAATAATTGTTGTCACGAAATGCATTTCAAAATGAGGACTTTAAAACCGTTGATTTTTTTCGCAAGAAAGTTTAGTACAAAATACATAATCTGTCGTTAGGAGGAAATGGGACAAGTATTAAATGCATACTGTAACAGAGTGATTGGTGAGTTTGTCACTAATAATATGTTAGAGTAGAATAGGATAGATGACGTGTATTCTGATTTTTGGGTCTCCTTATCTTTTGTTGTGAAAACAATAGGGATGGAAACGTGACATTGTGGCACATAATAGTTCCGTACGTCGCGGTGTATAGTACCCCCCTGTAGAATACTTGCCGGTTTATGCATGGATATTTTAATGGTACATATAGCTTTTTTTAAACATATTTAGTAGAAATATAAAAATGTTTGGGATTACATTATAGGAATATAAATGTAAAATAAAATAGGGGAATTTCTAAATGTAAGTGAATTAGAGTAAGAATTTAAGATTTGCAAAATGTAGGATAGAGTGGAATGGATTTGTGAAATATAAGGTCAAGTGTGAAATAAAAATATAAGATAGAGTGGATAGGTTCTCAAAATATAAGGTAGAGTGTGTAGATTTGTAAAATGTAAGGTGGAATAGATAGGTTTGCAGAATATAAGGTGGAGTAAGATGGGATGATAGGTTTTCGAAATGTAAAATGGGTTGATTTGTGAAACATGTAAAATGATAGGTTTGTGAAGCATAAGGTGAAGTGAATAAATTTGTAGAGTAAGATAAAGTTTTTAAATTTGCAAAATGTAAGGTGGAATAGATAGGTTTACAGAATATAAGGTGGAATGGATGGGTTTGCAAAACATAAGGTAGAATAAATGGGTTTGCAAAACATAAGATGGAATGAATTGGTTTGCAATACATAAGATGGGATGTGTAGGTTTGAGAAATATAAGGCAGGATGGGTGGGTTTGTGAAATGTAAGATAGGATGAATGTGTTTGCAAAACATAAGGTGAGATGGATAGGTTTGCAAAATATAAAGCAGAATGGATAGTTTGAAAATAAAGACAAAATGGATAGATTTGCAAAATGTAAGATGGAATGGATGGGTTTGCAAAATGTAAAGTGGTGTGGAAGATTTGTGAAATGTAAGGTAAAGTGAATGGGTTTGTGAAATGTAAGGTGAAATGGATAGATTTATAAAACAAAGTAAAATAAATAGATCTGATAAAAAATATTATTATATTTTACAACATTTAAATGAATTTTAAATTAAATTTATATCAAGTAAAGAATATAAAGGTTTTTTAATATATCCTGAAGGTGTAAATTTATGAATTGTTTCTATTATTCATAAATTGTATAATTCATACATCTATTTGAAATTATATTAATAAATAAATAAATAATATATTTAATAATATAAAATTTCATATCTTCAATTTAAAACTTTTGTTAATATCAATATCTAATAGTTGTAATTTTGATGTTAATCCACCAGAAATTACAGACACATTTATATTTCTATTGAATAATTGAAATTTAACTAAATCAACCAAATGTGTATAAAAGGAGTTAAAAATTAAAAGAGAATTATTAAATGATCAAATTTTTTCAATCCATCAAAGTATTTTAATTTTATTAACTCAGCTTTTTTCATTTGTACAAATAAATACTTCATTTGGAAAATTTTTTTGTGGTACATTTTTTAATTTAAAAATACAAACTGGAAGTAGTTTGATTCTATTGGCTAAACATTCAAGAATAATTATAAAATTTTTTTTCATTTTCAGTAGTATGAATACTGATTGTATAAGTTCCTCTTTTTTCAATTGTTGTTGAATTTGGTCAATCAAAAGTTAAAGAAATTTTATCTATATTGCTAATTAAGTATAGTGGATAATTATAATTAATATATTGATTCAAAATATAAATGAGAAAATCTTGTTTTCTTTCTTTCAAATCTTTAGATAAATGTTATGCAATAGTTGTTTGATACCAAATTAATAAGTTATAACAATCTAAAAAATCACTTAGCCAATTATTAGAAAATTTAAATAATTGAATATCTAAAAGATTTTGAAAAATGGTTTCTTAAATAAGTAAAAAAACTCTAGTAATTATTAATTTTCTAGTAATAGAATTTTGTAATTTTCATTGTTTAATAATTCAATTAAATAAAAAAATTTTTAACTGAGAATATTTAGATAGTTTGCCATTATATAATTTTAATAATTTTGATGAAATAATAATTAATTTATTTTTTTTAAGTATCCAATCTTGCAATTGTTTAGGTTGAATATTAAATTTTTTGATTATTTCTTTAATATTAATTTCATTTTTGTTTTGTTTATAATAAGTAATAATAACTAATTTTTCTTAAACATTCTAACTTCTTCATAATTTATTTGTTATTTGTGTTTGTAAGATACTTCTATTACTAGATATAACTATTTTTTTATTTTTTTTAAAAAAAAAAAATATGTGTATTTATTTTTATTTTTTTAATAATAGTAACAATATTAAATGAAAGTAATTATTTATATATTGTTACTAAAATTTTGAAAATTTTATTAACTTTGGATTGATACAACCATATATTATCAACATTTAGTAATATTTATTAATTTTAGCTATATTTTCTATATAATATTTTCTTCTTTTCTTCAAGAATTCTCAAAACACCTATATAGTTTTGAATAGTGCAGCAAATTTGGAGTGCTATAGCTCAAAAACTATGTTTTGAAGCTTCTTTGAGGTTCTAAGCAACTATTTGCGGAAAGACTAAAGGAATAACTTTTGTTAAGACTTTAAAACAACTATTTTATTGATATTTTGAGTAATTTTGCTTTTTCTCTTATGGATAAGAGTTTTCTTTGATCATCTAAGTGTAACAAATAATTCTCTAGCCAAATCTTTTGTGTAAATAAATGAAACATACATAAATAATTAGATAAGAAGCGACCTACAATTGACCAGAACATTATAAAAAGGTTGCAATTTTCCCAACTATAAAAAAAAAACAACTATCATAATTATAAAATTAATTTTCTTTTAATAAAATTATATTTATCAAATATTTTTCTTTTATATTTTTCTATTGTTTTTCTATTGAAATTCAATATTTATATATTGTTATTTTTTGATTCCAATATCAGGGCAGAGTTGTGAAATTGACTAAAACAATAATTTTGAATTGTTCATGTTAATTTTTTTAATAGTGTTTGAAACAAAACATATGTTGAATAAATTAAATCATTGAGGATTAAAAATTATTTTTATCAGTAATTTTGAAGTATGTCAAGGGAGAAACTAAAAGTTTCAATATATTTAATTGTAAATTTCATCTTCTTTGGATTTTCTTTGATATTTCTTTAATTATTTTCTTCTATTCTTCTTTATTCTGTTCCTATTTTCTTTTATTTCATAGAAATACCCTGTTTACTACAAATCTAAATTGATACAATTCTTATTTTGCTTTTTCAAGATAATAACAATATTCTTTATTCTAACTTATTTAATGTTTTTGTTTTATTTAAATTCTTTGTTATAAGTATATTCCTTAAATTTACTTTATATACTTATATTTTACTACAATTTATTTACTTTATATACCTATATTTATTTTACTTTATATTTCTATTTTTGTTTTGCAAATCTATCTATTATATTATACATTTTGCAAATCTATCACTTCACTTTATATTTTTCAAACTTACTTTAAATCTTGCAAACCTATTCATTTTATTTTATATTTTTAAACCTTTTTTACTTCACCTTATATTTTACAAACCTATATATTTTGCCTTACATTTCATAAACTTATTTATTTCAACTTTGTTTTGTAAATTCATTTATTTTATCTTACATTTCACAAACCTATCCATTTCACCTTATATTTTGCAAACTTATCTATTTCACCTTACATTTTGCAAACCTATTTATTTCACCTTACATTTTGAATCTATTTATTCTATCT